AAATGATTATTTTGTCATATCTTGCAGTCCGATGTCTCCCTGCCCCCACTTCTCTGCTGTCCGTCCCCCAGGGAGGAGGCCACACGTCGATCCCTGCCATTGGTTCCCCTAGCTTTTCTTGTTAGCATCTAGATGTTTTATTTTGATGAATTGTGAAAATGTAAATTTCAGTGTTTTGTCCTTGAGTGGTGTTTTTAAGTGACTGGTGGGGCCGGTAGCCCAGAAGGCCTAGTGACATAGGGGGTTATGTGCTGGGCTGCTAACCGCAAGGTTAACTTTTTGATGACACCCCACCCCCACCCCGCCTCCCAGGGTGTCTTTGGGAGAAAGGTGAGCCTTTCTACCATAACTATTTACAGCCTCAGACACCCACAGGAGCTGTTCTGCTGTATCCTATAGGGTCACTGAATTAGTATGGAGTGGATGACAGCGAGTTTGGGAGGATGATAGCAAAATGTTTAATTTTCCAGTAGCTGTTCTTAAACCAGTAGTGACCCCAAGCTGAGTTCCAGAATTTCTGATGTAATCTCATTTCAGTGTTGATTTTCCTATTGTTATAAAAGCTTATGATTGTGGGGCTCAAGTGGGGAGAGAATGCTTTGAAAATGATGATGATGGTATGTGTGCAAATGTGCTTGACACACTGGATGAATGTATGGATTGTGATAAGAGATGTAAGAGCCCCCAATACAAGTAAGAGGGGAAAAAAGCTTATCATTGGGCTGGGGCGCAGTGTGGGGTACACAAACCTACTGCTGTCAAGTCCGGGTAGACTCCCGGTGACCCCACTGAACAGAGTAGAACTGCCTGCCCCACACGGTGCCTGGGCTGTCGGTCCACTGGGCCCTCGGTGGAACGGCTGGTGGGTTGGAACCACTGACCTTTGGGTTTGCGGGCGAGTGCTTAACCACTGTGCTCCAGGGCCCCTTATCCTTGGGATAATCTGGACTTTTCTTCTCATGGGCTGACGGCATATTTGAAGCTCAACCATGGTTCCCCTCCTCTGGCGCTTCCAGACTAAAGTGTCCAAATCTACTCACCATGAATGGCTGAAAATTCCATTTTTTAAATTATTTTCCACTTAAATGGATTTTAGCCTGCATTTTCAGTGCCCTTTTGGAATTAGAAATAATCCACTGTGCCCAAGCACCCTTTTTTTCTTTTTTAAGCAGTCCTTTTTTTGTATGAGAAAAGCAACTCTGAAAAAGTGCAGCAGCCAGTTGCAAACCACGCTACAGAGCAAGCACTGGGGCTTTTCAGACCCGTGTGCCTTTCGCAGAGATGCTCACTGCTGGCCCAGCTTACGTTCTGTGGCGCAGCTCTGCTGTGAGCATGCTGTTTTCCCGCGCTGTGTGGGAACCCCTGCAGCCAGGCCTCTCCCACCAGGTCTGTGAGCACATGGAAGGCGCCCCTCCCAGCCAGCGCTGGTCAGCTGACGGCAGCTCTTCCCAGGCCGGTGCTCGTGCGTGTCCCCCGGCCCATGGCCTCTCAGCCTAATGTCTCCTTGTCCTGTGTGAGATTTCTAAAAGGCATTTTTCTGGGTGAAAATTTGGTCTTTAAACATATATTTGTATGTTTTCTTAACACTCCAAGCTGAGTGTGCTTCTCTTTCCAAGCCGCTGTATTTTTGCTTCTGGCTTCTTCGGACGTTTGCTCCCAGCCCCGGGCGGACTGAGGCGAGTCCAGAAAGCCGAGCTTCAGAGGCCCAGGGCGTCCTGGCTGGTGGAAGACGGCGGACTAGCAAGCAGGGGTCTGTGGAGCTTGGGCATGGGGCAGCTGAGCTCCGGCCCGTGGCGATGGGGAGAAGTCCATGTGCCATGACTGCTCTGTAGTTTCCTGTCACCGCAGCCTTACTTTATTTCTCTGCTCTGAGGAAGCCGTTGAAGTCCAGTTTGTTTCATGGAGAGACCTAAAAATCACAGATAGCAGTGTGTTTCCATGTTCTCTCCCCACCCTCCAGTAAGCACAGTGATGTATTAGGAAGCACTGCTAACTGCTTACATGTATGGCCTCACTACTCATTTCAGCCCTAAACCCACCAGTGAAGCAGGTGCCATGTTTACACCCATTTTTAGAAAGAGCATGTGCAGCTCAGGGCAGATCGGTCAAAGGCTACGTGGTTTCCACCAGGAGGAAGCCTGCAAGGGAGCCCGGGCGCTCTGGCTCCAGAGCCCATGTTTGGAACCACACCGTTGATGTTCTTGGAAAATCCCCGCCATGTGCGGATGAGCAGAATTAAACAAACGGTTGCTGCCAAAGCCACGGGGCTGGGAGGGTGTGGGACATCTTTCTTTTTCCATTCCAAGGGTTTTTGTTTCCTCTTTGTCCCCAAGGAAGACCATCACTGTAGTTTCTTACAGGCAATTCTGTTGATTCAACTCTTTTCAAATTAAAAGATAAAGCAAGGCTTAGAACTGGATCACTTGACCCTTTCCTTCTTTCTTATCACCTCCCCGTGCACAGTGCTTGCACTTCTTACTGGCCAGCGGTCTTGGACCTGACCTGCAGGTAGGCTCAGCACATTCAGGCCTCAGCACCAGCTCTGTGGTTTTGGCTGCTTCTGGAAAATTGGCTTTGTCTGCCCACCATACCCACTCTGCTTCCGATGGTAGCGCCTCTTTCCTCACCGTACAGGGAATTTTTGTCTCTTTGTACTGGGTCACTGTGTGAGGCTGAGACTGGCCACACTTCGTACAGAGGGTCCTGCAAGTGTTAGGTACATTGACCGTCTTTGCAGCACGCTGGTCTATGCATTGCAGACAGGAACTTGAGCATCTGCAACCCTCGCCTCACTCCATTCGTGCCTCCCAACAGTTTATTGGCATATAATTTACATATGCAATTCAGTAGTTCACCGCATCACGAAGAGTTGCACAATCACCACCACAATCCATTCTAGAACATTCTTCATTCAGCCACCTATGTCAACTTAGTTTTTAGACCAGGGTCTCTCATGTGCCCTTATTTTGAACACAGATGTTGTCACACTAAAACAGACTACCATTATAATTCCTCTGCCAGGTTAAGAGTTAAAGGTCACAAGGTGGATTAGGAGCAGCCAGGATGAGTATTGACGGGAGGGAAAGGCCATCGGGGTTGTCAGGGCTCTTGGCAAATTTGAGAACAATGCCAGCATCCTGATATCCCAGAGAAGACTGGTCAGATGTCAGAATCCCCACCTAGACCAGTGATCCTTTGGCACTAAGGCCTGTTAGACTGATGATAACTTTGGACTCTTCCCCGCTCATGAGGCTTCTAGACCAAGAAAGTGTGTGCAGGTGACTTCTGCATGGAGCAGCCCCAGCCAAGTACCGCTGTTGGGGGCAGTACTTAGGCAGCCCGGATTCAGCTCCTGCTTTCCCATGGACTAGCTGAGGATAATCATAGTAACTGTAGCATCATTGTGAGGATGAATGAGTTAAAATGTGCAAGATGCCAAGTAAGATGGCTAGCTCCACAGTTGTGTTCATGGTCACTGCCACACCTGTTAACTGGCTTATGTGTTGGGCTGGTAACCATCTACTCCAGTAAAGAACTGCAGTCTCGGAAACCAACAGGGGCAGGTACACCCTGCCATACAGGGTGGCTGGGAATCAGAATCAGCTGGAAGGCAGTGAGTGTGGTACCCAGAGAGCTTCTCCATGCTGTAAATGTTGATGGGTAAAAGGTTGAGGCACTGATCGCAGTGGGAGCACCCAATCAGTGTGGGGCTCAAACGAGCCCCCGTATGGATCTGCTCAGCCCTCACACCTGCCAGAACCCCAGCTGGCTGCCTCGGGCTTCAAGCAGCAGCATCTGCAGTGTGACATACCTTCCCTCTGGGCCCCCCCCACCATGAAAACCGTGTGGGCAGTACCGATGCCAGAGATCAGTGGGTGGGTGCGTGCAAGTAGGCAGCCCGGATCCCAAATCCAGGAGAATTCTGGGGCTGGAGAGCCAGAAGAACCTTAACCACAGAACCTGGAGCAGGGATTGTGGGCCTCCTGCAGGCTTCACAAAGTATGTGTGTGTGTGTATGTGTGTGTAAGGAGGGGGTATGGTGAGACACCTGCTGTGGCCGAGGGAAGAGAAGCCCTGCTGACCGGAAGCTCCGTGCCCACCTGCTACATGGCGCCCAAGAGCGCCCTCAGCAAGGCTGTGTGGAGAGCCCAGTCTAGGAGGCTGGAGCTACCAAAGGGAGCCGGGAGAGCCCCCTGGAGGCTGGAGTCTCACTATAGAGAACCGAAGCCGTGGACCCAGCAGTGTGAGCACTAGGAAGAGCTGGCGCCAGGCCTCAGGAAGCTCCCGCTGGGAACCCTCCCACTGTGCGAGGGCTTCTAGGGTGAGGGAGGCCACCGAGGGCTTCCGTCTGGGCAGTGTGTCTCGAGGGCTGTAGCACCTTGGCCTGCTAGCAAACCGGTTGGCAGTCAGCACGGGTTTAGGGGGCTTGTTAGGAAGCTCTTGCCCAGGTAGTCTGGAAGTCTCAGGAGGAGGCGTCTGAAATGGGTTCCTGGATCTTAAGAGAGAGGAATCAAAGATGACCAGCATTTTTGGGTGGGGAGGGGTGCCATCCCTTGGGTAGGAAACACTGGAAATGGAACAGGTATGGGGAGAGGAGTGGTGAATTCTTTGGGACTCAGCCCTGTGACACCTGTGGGGTGTGCAGTGAGCGTGGCCAATGGCCGGTGGGTGGGTGAGTCTAGGGAGGAGAGATGTCAGAGTGGGCAGGAAGAATGGGTGGCATGCCTGCCTTCCACGGCCCTCTGAAGGGGGCACATTTAAGAGCGGGTTTGGGTTAGTGATCTGTACAACCATTCAGGCTGACATGCCTCTGCTCTGTTCTCAACTTGTAGAATCCTTAAAGCTGGATTTTTAAATCCTCTCCATGAGTGCCTGCTGGAAGAATTCTCCCCAACCCGCTCCCTCGTTTTTCCGTGGCTGCCACACCTGCACCTCCCCTGTGTGTTGCAGCAGCTGGAGGAAGCGGGGCGTTTCATAACGTGACCTGTCTGTTTTCCCAGATCTGTGACTTGGAGGAAAACCTCAGGCTTCGGGGTGCTCCCGGTGCTGGCCAGAAGCCCGCTTCATGTCTGCATGCACGAGCGCCAGCGTGCCATGGAGAGCGTGGGGTTGCAGACGGTGACGCTCAGTGATGGGACGACAGCCTATGTTCAACAAGCTGTCAAAGGTGGGTGTTTCCAGGGATCTGGGAGCCCTGCCTTGTCCCCCAGCCTCTGCAGAGGACTTCCCCTACGGAGCGGCTCCCTACCCCCTTGCCCTCCCACACCCTTCTTCCCATCACAGCTTGCTCTGCATGCAAAATGAAGTGCCCTTAGACACCCCTCGCCACAGGAGCCCAGGCTTCCTCAAGGCACAGTTCCTCCCCAGTAGTGCATACTTAGAATGGACACATTGCTACTGTGTCCGCTGCCTCTTTCCCAAGAACTCCCTGCCCAGTCCCCGTCCTCCAGAAGTAGTTCAGCATCGGACAGTGTCAGGTGGAGACGCCCACGGGCAGCTCCCACCCCTTCGTCCCACCAAAGTGGTCAGATTGGCCAAGTAGAAACACAGGGCACACAGTTACATCTGAATTCAAGTAATCCATGAGGGAATGTGCAATGTAAGTGTGTGTCCCCAGTCTGGGGACACTGGTCGCCTGCAGCTGGTGGTGGCGCGGGGAGTAAAGCGGCAGCCGTGGCCCAGCCTGCACAGGCTCGTGCTGTTGGCATGTTGGAGTTGTGGCAGGCATTGGGTCAGTCAGTTCATGCCGGGTTCACGTGCAGAAGCAGAAGAAAATAAAGACTGAGAAATACTCAAGTGATTGTCATTCTCTGAAATGCAGATTTACCTGGTGCTCTTGTAGGAGGGGCTTCCAAACGTTCATGGGAAACTCCCATATCTCTTAAGTCCCTTTCTCCATGACCTTCTTAAAGCCGCTTGTGCCTTTTCTGGCCACCCTACTCTTACACGAAGGAACTTTGGTTCAAGACGGATGTCAGAAGAGTTATTGGAAGGCAGAGCGCCGCCCCCCCTCTCGTAGGCTCCCCCGGCCCCCTTCTCTCTCTCCTGTGTTCTCCCGGTGACAGTGGGGCTGCCCTGAGGTGGGTCTTAGGCTGTGAGCTTGATGGGGAGCAGAGCAGATGGGCACGTCTTCCTGGTGGAGGAGCAGGAGGTGGGCTGCCTGCCACCTTTTGATTAGTAGCTCAGCACTTAGCCCACGTGTCACCTGGGCTCCTTGACCGTGTCTTAGCCCTGCTGTAGCTCGCCTTTCTGGAGTTGGTGCGGCCCCCTCCCCCCTCGCGCCCCGCCCCCACTCCCATGTTGTCCCTGCAGCACTGCCTTCTTCCATGTCAGCACACTTCTCATGTAGTGCCGTTGTGCGTTTGCCGATAAGTTTGTTGCTTTCATTGAAAGTTGTGCATCCTGATGACAACTAGAGGCCCCTGCAGCTGGTCGGTGAGTGCTTTCCTTATGACGCGGATGGGATCCTCTCGGAAAGTTTGCTCACTAAGAGCTGTGTGTGTGTGTGTGTGTGTGTGTGTGCGCGCGCGCGCGCGTGCGCCAGTTGGCTTCATTCTTTGATCATGGAATTTCTCCAGAAGGCTTTTGTTGGGGGGTGGGGGTGCAGATTTGTATATTACAAAACATTTGTCCATTCAACAGTTTTTGCATGTACAATTCAGCTGCTGATTACATTCAGCTGCTTGTGCAAAACCATCACTCCTTTTCTAGATTTTTCTACCGCTCTTAAAGGAATGCCCTCTTCTTCCTTCCCCTCTACCCCTGTAAGCACTAAGGCACTTGGTGGCTGTACATTTGCCAATTTCCGTTGGAGAGATCGCTTGTCAGCACTGACGGCTCCCACTCGGTGTAAGGTCTTCAGGGACACGGTTGCAGTTGAAGCAGCGCTTCTTCACCCTGGACGGAGTCATGGCCCTGCACTTGAGGACCACCTTCTGTCCCCCGTGAGCTGCTGATGGACCTTGAGGTTTCCACGGGGGGCTGTCGTCACCGTGGACATGAGTGCTCACCTTCTGTTGGTTTCTCGCGTGTGGACCCTTTTGTCTGTGACCGGGCTTGGGACCACCCACTCTGTGGTCATCTTCCCTTTCACTGTTGGCGGCTATGGGTACTCTCACAGCCTTCCCACCACAGGGCTGGGCCTGCTGCTGCAGCCTGGGCTCCAGAAAGGCCTCGGAAGCAGAGGGCTGGGCGTCCTTCGGGGCCCCGCTGGCTCCCAGGCTCAGCCTGGTGCTGTGAAGTAGCCACTCTTTCCTTCCTTCCTGCTGAGTCTCTCTGTCTCTCCATTTCTAGCGTGTCCAGGCCTTCCGTGCCCCCTCCACAGTGGTGCAGTGTATGTGCGCGCACACGGCTCAGCGTGGATCTGGCCTTCAGGAACCTGAGCGACGTTGTCCTCAGAGGCATCCCTGACTGTCAGCAGGCAGCTCCGTCTGGGCCTAGTGTTCCCAGCAGCCCTAACGTTGTCCAGGTCTTCTCTAGAGCTAGCACGAGCATGAAGTGTGTCACCCGAGAACAGATGGGTGTGCTGTGGGTTCAGTGAGGGTGCCCGTCCCCTCGGTGAGGACATCTGAGGAATACGCACTCAGCACTGCCGCCCCCATGAAGCCTCTGGCTGCTGAAGGAACTTCTAGATGAGCATTTTGGCCTCAGACGACTCTCGGGTCTCGAAGCCATACCCACGCTGCCGCCAGCAGCTCTGCTGGGGCCTCTGTCAGACACCGCTCACACGCAGAGGGGGGACACGAGAGAGCCCCTCAGCTGGGCTGCTTTTCTCTCCCGCTCTGACCTTGTCTCCACCCCACCTGCCTTCAGCTAGACTTTAGGACTGACTGCCTTGTCCCCAAGAAGACTCCGTTGGGAGATCAGATTCTTCTGAAGGGCAGCTTCAACAGAGAAGTGGGCCAGAGTCGCTGCCTGGCCCTTTCCCACATCGGGAGAGTTGACATTCTTGAATCTGACTTCTTTTTCAAAAAGGACGAACCATTATTTCCTGAACTCTCCTGCAGCTCCTTCTCCCCCTCCTCCCTCCCTCGCAGAC